TCCAAGCTTGGAGTTCGTAATGATGTAATGACGAATGATTTGAAAAGATATCGTTTTCACCAAATTACAAGGAAAAATCTTGGGTACCTCTTTCCAAATTTTGTATCCAGTGGTAAAACAAAGTTGTATGTTTTGTGCAAACAAATATCATATACATACACAAACGAATTGACCGAACGGTGTCCACATAATGCAGGTTTGTCTGGAGCAAATTTACCGAAGTTGCCTTTTCAGATTATAAACCGAAAATACCTTTGAACAGAAACCTCTGAACTGTAAGGTAAGATTTCGCATTTTTTTTTTTTTCAGTTCTTGTAATTTCCCTATCCTTTTTTGAATTGCACGTGATTGTTAGTGCAGGAAGGAACAATGCGAAAAACTGGTCAGTTCATAATATTAAAAAAAGAAAGATAAAAACAAACCAATAAAAACAAGCTTGTTACGATTTCGTGAGAGCCAGTCGGATTTCTTTCATCATCAGATATTTTTCTTCTGATGATTGATCTGCTAGATACTTTAATTGAAAGTCTGGCTAGATTTTGATTGAAAGACAACATATTAATTAATATTATTTGGCAACATATTAAATATAGCAATCGGTAGTCAATCAAAATTCGTGTCCATATCTTCAGTCTTTTAAAAAACACGCAAATAGCTATTTCGATCTCTTTCTTTCACCGGCACTCATTTTTCTCAGTTTCTGTGTTCACCAATAAAATATTCCCCGGTTGCTGTTGGTTCCCTTATACTGATATCTTTTTTAGCCCTAGAAACGGTTTTCGTGATGTTGTCATCTATATACGATTTTTTATCTACGGTATCTGGATGAGACGTGTACTTTATCTATACGTTGGGCTCTAACACAAGATATAAAGACTTCCAAGGACTTGTAAGAACGACACAGTACCACTGAGTCCCGATGCTAGTCTAATGTAACATGTAGCAACATCCGATACGAATAGAGTCTTCTAAATAGAACATATGCCATGAACTTGCGTAAAAGAACACGTTTCATCCGTTTACTTGCTCTTTTCGAGAAGACTCCATGAAGGTTTAAACGTTTTTTTAGAAGGACAGAATAACTTTACCTTTTGATCTCCCAAGTCAGTGAACGCTATCCCGTATTCAAATTTACAGTCTTCTGATTTCTTTACAAGACTCCGATTTGTTCTTTAGAAGTAGGTAAACTTCTAAGCTTGAAAAGTTGCAAACATAAAGGCCACCGTCTAGAGCGACTGCTGAAAGTAAGCTCTTTGTGTGAGAAATTCCATGGATATGACATTCGATATTCTAGTCGGGTAGGTTGCGAGTTTGACTCCGGTACCAGCAATGCCAACTCTATTGTAATGTGATTTCACCTGTTTAATTCCTCTCTCGACATCGTCTGCGCACAGAATGTTTTCACTTGCAGCACAGATTGAAGTTGGCTTTTCTGAAGGAGGGCGAACCTTGACAGGCTTCAAGTTTCTGAATTTAGCGACTAAATTTTGTAGATGGGTGTTCAGTCGTTTTCGTGGAACGGATACTGTGCCATCAAGCGGTAAAATGAAACGAGCTAGCTGAGACAACGGATCAGCTCGATATTTCAAGCTTCCTGGCTTGACAATTACCTTGCCTTCAAGGTCATTGAAGCGAATCAAAGATGAAGCACGTTCTGCGATAAAACAACAACGCCATTGATGAAACACAAGTCTCTAGCATCGTTGAACGTTCCTTCGGGCACTTCAACGTCTACAGGTTGGTGCAGTCGCAACTCTATTACACGAGCCTCACGAGAATCAAAATCATAGTCCAAGCAACAATGTTACCTTGGGTTCCACGTTTAAGGGCGATAAGTCTTTTGCATAAAGAGGTCTTTTCACCTTGATTTGATTTCCAGAAGCGATACTTTGCTGGCACCACGGTGTAAAACCACAAACATTACTTCTTCTAAAACATATAAGACTGCAGGTCTGGTAAGGTGCACGATTGGTTTAACTGCCATGCGATCTTTGTTTCGCACACAATCGAGGGTAACGCATTTCCTAAGGTTTCTGCGAATATCAAGGCTTCCAGAATCACGCAGGGTGCGTATTGAGACATAGTTACTTATTGCGCCTTCAAGGTCAATGAACTAGTCGGCCCAGCTGAAATTAAGACTCTTCCCAAGGTGAATTACATCTGGCAAGGCAATAACAAGGAACAGTTCTGCAGGCAAGGTCTAATTCTTTGCGCTAGAATTCATTGCTGATAAGACTTTCCTATTACATTCCTCGCAAAATTCTAAGCGCTTATAAATCGGTATCTATAGGCGTTTTATACTACAGAGTAGGCTCTTTACTGATATATTTATACAATACGAAATACCAAACCATTCCAATACACACTCTATAATTCGTTTCCTGTTCCAGCAAGTATGGTCTGAGGCTCCAGATTCCATTGTTCGTCCGTATTTCAAGCAAAATTGTCGCTCTTGCCGCCTTATTTCGGAGCCATGTGATAAAGTTTCACATCAAATTCTCCCAAGCCAAATTTACTGAACAACTTCTTTTGACCAAGGAACGAAACAAGGTGCTTTTTCAGCGCCAGTATGGTGTTTATATCATTTTATCACATAAACTGCGGTGTTACACAGGGATTTCCGGCCCTGAGAAAAGTCGTAACAACACACGTGAAAAAATATCGTTTTTTTTCACCTGTGTTGATATAGCCAATCAGCTGCTGACACGTCACTCGCCTTTGGCGCCACTCGGTCAGATTGATGAATGAATGGCAAAGCCTTCACGATTCTCAATACAAGTTGTTTGTCGGAGCTTTCTCGTATTATGGCGGCTAAAACACTAAAAAATCCGTATCGCTGACAGACAGTGAGGTTCAAACATTCCTAAAGGGGAAGAAAACCAATCCAATAAAAGAAAAACTGAAAGTTACGCATTCAGTGGCTTAGGTGGCTGAGAATGAAAATCGACGACTGGATGATTTACCACTGGCCGATTTTGGCCGTTACCTGAAAGACTTCTTCCGTCGGTAAGGACAAAGTCAATAAATGAGAATTTTGTAAATTGAAAATTACGACCATTCTTGTTTTTGTAATCATGATTCAACACATTTTCCCATCTTGGGAATTAGCGCCAACGCACTCTACGATTGTTGTTCGGGGATTGTCGATTCATTTATTTTCATTCATAAGTGAAGTCGGCTTTTCTTCACTTATGAATTCTTTTCTTCACTTCCTTCTGTGGTTCTCCTACATACCAACTATCCAAGTATCTGACGACAATACTATAACCGCTGACCGGCAAATCCAGATGTAAACTGCAATTCACCGAGGACTTTATTAACGCCACCAAGACTGTACAGATACCTGAAATTACTTTTAATAGTATTTCACCTAAACTGGCACTAGAATGTATTGTCATTGCAATCCCACGTTCTACCGACCCTCCTCCACTGCCGACAGAGGACTTGATGGACTTACGGTACCTTTGCTAACTTTCAGTACAAAGGTAAACACTACAAACAGTTGAACGGTAATTGTACATGTCAGTTACTGACAAACGTCAGAGACAATGACAAACAGAGGAAGAGATAGCGAACGGTTTGTAAGATCAATTAATATGACTGCCACGCTTCCTGCATTGAAGAGATTGGCAGAAACCTCCCAACAAGACTGACTAAGCACAAGCGAGCGACGAGGAAAAAATGATGTCAACAATCACATTGCTGAACATCATCGACCTTACGAACCACACTATTTACTGAGACTTCGCGCAAAGCCTAGTCAACAGCACCGATTATTATCAACGACTGACCTATTAAGCTGGTTTACAAACTTAGAACAGACCCCCTCAACAAGTGCCAACCACTACCAGCACCATACAAACGACTCATTCATGACATTTAAATTAAAAACGAACAGAACGAGACCGATCAATCACGACCAACTTAAGCCACTTGAGTTTTGCAGCCAATAACACCATCCCGAAACTGACCAATCAGTTTATACAAACCGGACTTAGAACATTCGACTGACAACAACTATTCACTTGACTCTGATGATGACTTCCACTCAGGTTGTCGAAACGTCAGTCACCACTGCCGACAAGAGTCCTTCTCTGGACTACACTCACCTGGACGATTAGAATACACTGTCTCAAGTTACCCCCGGGTTCTGTTTGCTACGTGGAATGTTTACTTTTCAGGTTTCTCTTTTAGGCAAAAATAGTTGATGGATTATAACACCTATCACTCTGACCACAGTTTTTCCTAAAAAGGAAAGGATGGTGAAGGTATGTGGCTACCACACACAAATAATTTATGTTTCATCAGCCTCGGTTAATCCTGAGTCCATGCTTAAGTTTTTACTTTGTCATGAATTAAACTAGCTGTGACTAAAATACAATGAATCATCCGGTCTCTTCTGGATGAGTGTCCAACCTGCTATGATATGTTCTGGTCAAGGAAGACCTGAGCCCCTTTTTTAACAAATTCCATTAAAGCACTTAAAACCTATATTAGTTCAAATTAACATAATTTCGTGTAAGTACATTTTTCTTCGTCTCTTTTAATTGTTGTATTCGACGAATTACACAATATATTCCTTGTGTCTGGTTGGTGACCGAGATTTTTATATGTCCGCTTTGTGCAACGTGGAAAAAGACATCGAGTGTTCCTCCGACTGCCCGAATACAAAGTTTCAGCGCGTATGGCAGTAATGCTAAAAAAGCAGGTATGTTGTATTTTGGCGGGCGAAAAACCCCTTTCCATTTGGAGACATGTCGTGATTTCGAAGAGTAAGAAAATATGAAGGACACACAATACACGCGAACCATTAAGATATGTCTGGAGACAAGAAGATGCTTCACGGCTCAGTTGGTGTGGCTGAGTTTTCCCATAACCTTCTGCGCACTTTGGTTCGACATACTTCGCTCATTCAGCGACTTACACAAGAATCAACTAATACATTGCAAATACATTTTATTGTCAACTTTTTATACACGATCTCGTAAATTTTCCATAAATTATTCTTCTGGGCAATCCGGCTTGATCTTCATTTCAGATTTGATGATGGGCGTATCTGGGACTTCACTCCCTTTAGACCATCTCATACCAGCTGGGCTGTAATTACCGTTGAGGTTCGAGTAACCACAAGTCTTCGGAAACCACCAAGCGCCAAGTATTTTAGTACAGTTTGTGTCGTCTTTATCTATTGTTGAAAATTGGACGTGGTTATTGCTACTAAAAGAATCGTTGACATTTCCTTTAGAGAGAGAGAGAAAGAACAAGTATATGATTAAAGTAATTTAGTGTTATTATAATCGTTTATAGAACGCTTTTCTCAAACAGAGTTTGCATATAAAATAAAATGATAAAACCTGGGACAGAATTTACAATGTCATCAATAGCGTAATAATTATAGGTTCTTTCTCTAAATACTAAAATACAATAAATTATATAAACAATTGGCATAGGCCTGTCGTAATGGGTGAGTCTTCAACTATTTTATTATTATTTTTTTTAATCTTAAGTCTCACATAGTCGTATATCCTTGAGGGTCTACATGATGATCCGCATTGGCTTTTTTAATGCGACATGCAGGGGCTTCAGGAAAACTTTTGCTAAGTGAACATCCAATAAAAACCATCGAACATCGGCTGTCTATCTAAAGGCAGGTTGTGAATTGCGCATTCATCAGTCCCCTACGTACGTATGAGCAATTAAGGCTAAATTCTAGTGTCCGTGTTCGCTGAATATAACTTATCAACATCATACCTATCAACTTCATCTTAATCATCAAATCGACTGTCAGATCACTTTCAACCTATGGATATCTCCTCGCCTCAAAGTCCAGCTGATTTATGTATTTGTTACTTTAGACGTTCAGTCCACGAATCAAAATAATTATGACATACCACAAAAAATTATATTTTGAAGTCCCTCCGATGATCGAAGTGCAAGACTGCATCGAAAGGTTGTCTTATTCTTAAGGCGTAACATACCGTTCAAAATTTAGTAAGGGTAATTTTCGATGTAAAACATCTAGCTGATTAAATAATTTGTTTTTTCATCTTAAACTAATCATAGTAATTATGACCTAGCAAATAACTTACCTGAAGACATCCCACCAATAATCAAGGAATAATTTTTTAATTCCGATTCAACTACGAACAAGTCATACTCGGCGTAAGTATGATGAATTTTCTGATCTAGTTCAAAGTCCAGATCTACTCGTAGCTTGTTCTTTGTTCTCCAAGTGAGCCGGTTTATCTTGTCCAGACCCAACCAATATTCACCATTCTTGTTACCAAAGCCATGCTTGTAGTCGCACCAAGTACGATTAAAATCGACAGATCCGTCCACTCTCCTCTGGATCACTGTCCATCCTCCACCGGCCGTGCTCTGGTTACAGTACACATCAAAGATACCTAAACCATCAGGATCAATCGCATAGACACCGCTGGTTGTATTACCATCAATATAAAGCTCAGCACAATTAGCTGTTGAATAAAAGTTTCATGTGATAAGCTAAACTGAAAAAACAATGAGAAAAATGACCTAGTTAAATTTAATTTTAATCCAGGCAAAAACAAGCTTAAGAAACAAAAACACAGTCATTGGAAAGATAATGATGAGAATGACGAGAGGGCAAAAAATGAAAAAAGAAAAAAAAACAAGTTCAAACACATTAAAATCCATATTGTCGTGGTTGCACAGAAATTCTATTCAGCTGAACACAGGACGAGAATTGACGCCATAACTTCAACCTCGGTTACTGCAGTTCACAAGAAAAATAATAATTTGTGAGTATGGAAAAAAGAATAACCTGGCACAAACCTTTAGATGATGTGATGGGATGGGCCAAAATCTGACTCTCAGAAACCAACGCGATGAACAAAAAGATTTGGAAAGAACATGGGAAAATACGAGACATTGTACCAATGTTCAATTCAACCTAAACTTGAACTTCTTAAAGAAGCGAGAATGCTAAGTTATTGTGTTAGAATTGCTGTTGTCAACTGAATTTATACTCCCTGATGGTAGCCGATGAAAGGACATTTTTCAGTTCAGAGCTAACCACCTATTTTCGTAGAGCAGGACATTTTTTAAATTTAAATAGCTTCTAACTTAGGAGTTCAAGGAAGTTTTTTTTTCATAAACGTCATGCGGAGGCCTAAAGGAAGGAATGAAAACAGCCCACGCCTTTAAACTTCCCTATTTACAACAATTAGTGCAAGAAATTAACAGTTTTCTTTAATTCATGACTGTTTCGTTTTTAAACATGAATACATATAAAAGAAATAAATATAAATTATTATGTTTCACTTCAAATTATGAAAAAGTTTCTCAACCTCGAACGAATTTCACGCATTTTCATGTATTTTCATTGTAATAAACATCCACACCGGAAATTTTAAGTAAGGAGTTTTAGAAAAGAGAGTTGTGCGAAGCCAGCTGGGCCAGGTTTGCCCATTGTTCTTTAATTTGAAGCGAGTTTTCTCAAATATTTTCCTCTTCATAGGTTATGAATAGAAGGAAAGAAGAAGTTAAGTTCATCCGCTACACTCAATATTAGGATCAAAAATGCAACGGAATATATGCGTTCACATTTTTTATAAATCAAACCAAACTCTGTTATTGCATTTTATTTATAATTATCATGATAATGATGATAATGATAATGATTTGAACTTAAAATTCCTTTGGACTAAACTTACAGAGGTTGATCGCTTTGAAATGTTATCGTTGTTTTGTTTTTCTTAAGGGGTTAGTTATTTGGCCTTGACATTACCTATGTTCAAAATAGCGGGGCGAGAACTTCAAATTTGGAAAGAAAAAAAGGAAGTGAAACACGTCAGGGCCCAATGTAAAACGCCAGCTGCTCCCAAGGTTGAGTCTTAGTGGGCGAGCGATTCATGCTTGAGGGAGGCGAACTTTCGATTCAAGGATGTAAAACACATCCTTTCCCAATATAGAATCTATCCTTGCAGTTATGAATACTACTGAATCAGTGGTTGAAATAAGGCCTGAAAAAAATTCAGGCCCGTACGGGATTTGAACCTATGACCCTTGCGATACCGATACCTCTACCAACTGGACTAAAAAGCCAACTGGGAGCTGGTCATTATGTTAGATTCAAATAAACCTTCGAAGTGGTGAATAAAGGCTGTGAACATATGAAAATCATATGTGTGCACTGCGGTTGAAGAAGCGCAGAGGTATCGTAGAGGTCAAGAGTTAAAATCCCGTACGGGCCTGAATTTTTTTTAGGCCTTATTTCAATTATTAGTTCAGTAGTGTTCATAACTGCGAGGATCGATTCAGTATTCCTTACTTCAACCGCAGTGCACACATATGATTTTTATATGTTTACAGCCATTATACATCCTACCTGTTTGATTGGTCAGTTTTACGGCAAACTTCAAATTTAAGTACAGAAAGCGTTCTTAAGAACTGATAATTCTGCAAAAAGTTGTTATGCATGGGTTGAGCAAAGCGGAGATCAGGATGCTTTTTTCTCGTTTTGTCATCGACGAAATTAAGCTTTAATAAACAGGGTCTCTATGATTTTTGCAACTGATGCGAACTGAGTTTTTCACGCACTTTTGCATAGATCAGAACGTCTAGGAAACGGGTAAACAGACCAAGTACACAATAAATGGATCAATATTTGTTTCTGGGCAACCGAGCTCGATATCGATTTGTCGTGCTCGATTACCATTCCTGCTCGATAAGCAAACGACGTTTGATAATCGAGCTCGATAACTACAAGTCGAGCTCGATCGCTAATCGAGTACGATTACTAATCGAGCTCGATTAGTTATCGAGCTCGACAAAATTCGTTTATCGAGCTCGGTTACAGTACTGACGAGAAAGACTGGTGGAGAGTCCAACCTTATGGAGTGCGATGGAGTGTGCAAAAAAACCTCGATACCGACGGCGAAATACTTCATAAGTTTTTTAGAAGATTCAGAGACAGGATTCATAGAGGGGATATGAAGTAAGTGGGGAGAATATTGAAAATAAATTTTCCCACGCTGCCGTTTTTGTTTAAGCGATTCTCTTCCCCTAAGATCAGGACACCCTTTTTTTCGCTCGTGTGCGTTCCGGCTTTCTCTAAGACAACTTGCATTTAGATATTACTTTGAACTTTTACTGTAACTTTTTAGAGGGTAATTAAAGAAAGGAAAAGACACGCATATGAGGCGGTAAAAAAAGTTGAATATCGTCGCACCTTTTTTCTGACTAATAACAGCGTCATCTATCGACACAACAACATTCGTATCGCACTCTAGTTTTAAAATGTTACTATTTTTTTCCCCCTAAGAAAGGATTACGACTGAATCACCAATATTTTGAACTTTTCAATCAAGTTTTATTTTTGAACATTGTGATTGTTGTGCGTTAAATACTTCCAAGATCAAGGCCCAGACTACACTTTCGCAGGTGCTTTGAAAAACGTTATTTTTCTCTCACAATCCAAAAAAAAGCTTTGCCTCTATCTATGAAAATGAATAAACTGGTTTTTTTCTTTTTTTTTTTTTTTTTTAGCATTATCATAATTGTCATCTACGGCAAAAAAAAAACGAAATGCAGCTAGATGATGTGTGTAGTAAAGCCCTTATCATCCCGTCAAAAAAGTGTTACAAGAAAAAAAATCAACATAGGGGAATCGAAAAGGTCGGTTTTCAAAATGAGTTAAAATTCAAGTTGAAATCGCATATTTTAAAAATACGTCGTTTCGTTCAGTGTGGTCAGTAGACCTAACCTATGTAAAACCTATTCAACATAGTCATGGACAGAGCTTAATTGTTTATTTACCTGTCTCTCCCAAAACTGAAAGTAAAAACCTTAGCGTATTTACAAAACCGGATTATCAACTAGATATTGATTGGCTACAACGGCCAAAAAGTTCTGCATGGATTGCTGAGCGGTTCCCGCTCTCCACCGACGCCACATTTGCTCGTCGAGGTACGACTGCAAGTCTTCCTTCCTTATCCTCCGGCGTGTTTTCTGATCCAATTTTAAACTGTTCCAGCAGGATTCGATTTCTTGGGTGTCAACCCCATAGTGACTGGGTCAACGAAGTTGAGTCGGTGGACAATCATTTGATGTGCACTTATGTTGTTAATTCTTTGGTCCGTCTGCCGGTAGGAGGCCAAGTCATCCGAGTGCACTTCGGTTCCAGGGAGAACACACCTTGAAATGATGGGATGGAGGGTGGCCATATCTCGTCTTTCCACTTCATCGAAGTAGCTTTTTGCAGGTAAATGTTGTGTCGTAACAATCCCAAAACCCATGTGTACCTTTTTGTGCACGTCTTCCCCAGTTGTTCTGAAATAATGAAAAAATATATATATTTCAGATGGATGATTTTTGTCCCATTAATATTTTGCTTTAGGCTTTATCCCAGCTATGTGTAATTATCATTCACCTGTATGAAATAATTTTGATATTAAAGCGCCCTGAGTGCTTTTTGTTGTCACATTCCCACCTACTTCGGCTTGCGAACCACATGTTCCAGAAAATTAAGGAACAGTAAGGTTATGAAAATATTTATATTTCAAAAATATTGAAATGATTGGAGGCGAACATTTGCCTAGTATATACTATATCAGTAATATAATATGGCACAAAAAGGTGATTTTTTTAAACTCATTTATTCCTGCTATAAATGGTTGCCATAATTTTTGTGTGCCAATAGTGGGCAAGTTGCTCGGAGGCGATTAGCAAAGGATGTTCAAAGTTTGAGTGCAGGCCAATCAGAGCGCTTCTACGACGCTATTTACCGTGTTAGTATATACTTGAAAAAATAGTGATTTTTAGCTTTGATTAGTGGTTGAATTTACTCTCGTCGCATCTTACACCAGTCCAAAGGGCGTGATTGGCCTGTCCTGAAGGTTTCTTGGGCAGCCATCCTGTAAGTGCCTACTAATTTTCTTATCAAGCTTGTATTTAAATCAAGGTACCTGGAAATTCGTCGCTGGGAGTCCTCAGCAGAGAAGAAATAAACCTTCTGCAGGAGTTTACCAATTGGCACTCTGGGGAACTCCTAGAAAAAACTGTTTGATCTCACACTTCTTCTTTTTATGCATCCTCAGCAGCGCCTGTACAGTATTGTTAAGGAAAGACCCTTTATCGTTTTTGAACAAATTAAAATGGCCGGTTTAAGCATTCTTCTCCACTGAATATATAGACACGTATAGATGCGACTTTTATGGTGGATGCTCTTGCTTTGTAGAAGTTTTGAATTAACATCAAAGAGGTCTTCTACATCGAATGGGAAAAGTGCGTTCTAAAACAACACCTTAAGTACGTCGATAATTATTATTGTAACCCACGGTACTTTTAGTGTTGTTTTGAGGTTTTTTTTTTTTAAGTCGGTTTATTTATCACGTAGCAGTCAAGTGAAAATCCAAATTGTGCTATGAACACTTGCAACTTATATGACAGTTTTATGTAGCAGCATGCAGACGCATGTAAAAGTTGTTACTATATAAGTTGAAAAGGAGATAGATTAAAGGACGTTTGTGCCAATGCACGCGCCCGATGAAAGAGGGACTAAAGCTAGTAATCGATAGCAAGTTCCCTTATAGGTTATCTCCGAAAAGCACCTTTTCCCCGTTGTTGTTCTTCAATTAAATACGAAATACATTTATGTCAGCCCCGCGCGTTAAGATGGTCGCTGCGTTAAAAAAAGAAAAAAAAAAAAAAGATGACGTTTATTTAAAATTGACCGTGCCCACTAAAAAGGAGAAGTTGCAATATTTGTGTGCACAAACTAAAAATAATTCATTATCATTGAAATGGAAATGCGAATTTTGGGCATATACTCAGTTCTTTAAGCGGAGAGGAATTGTACAAAATAATTACTTTACTATCTCGTGCGGTAAAAAAAACGATACCTTCGTTCACAATTTAAAGCCTGCCATCTTTGGATAACGCCTTCAGTTTAATCTCTTCAACAGGCCAAGGTGGTTACCGAATTAGTCCCATTTTAAGTGTGGGTTGGATTTTTATGGAGTTTAAACGATGACGCGTTAACTTCGTGCCGTTGCGACAGTGTTCGGCAACCGGCCTACCGGCGTTGATTGAGGTTGAGCTTTCAAAAAGAAATAATAAATGAACAACAGTAATAAAAAGATGCACCAAATAGTGGAGGGTTCCAATGGGGTGATAGCTGGTAAGTTTAAAGGATAAAATTGTGGCCACTTTATGGCTAACGGTTAGGTTTTTTTCCCTCACGCTGGTTACCAAAAATATTTCTACTATTAACGTTTTTGACGACTACCGTTTAAAACTTTATCGTGAGGCCTTGCTCTAAAGCTGCATACTGACGTAAGGAATTATTATTTTCTTCTCCTTGTTGGAGTCTAGTCAGCTAGCAATAGCGAGAAACGGGTCTAAATTTCGATGATTTTGTGAGTTTCTTATTTTGTAATTGACTACATCACACTTATGCGAAGTATCTTTTTTTCACACGGTTGTTTAGAACAAATGAATAAAACCCCTTAGGGTGACCTCATCGTGAACAAAAGCAATTAAATCATTGCTAAGCGCAAGGTAAAACAGCCTATTGTTTAAACTTCCTCATCAGTGCCTTGTGTAAGGTAAGTGTGATTTTTTTTTTCATCCTTTGTTATAATGGAGAAGTATGTTTGCCGTCGTCATAACAGACCAGAAACAAAGGGGGTAAGTTTCTAAAGAAACTCTGGTGGGTGTAACAAGGTGATTTGGTAATATTAACTAAGTTGAAATCGTAAATTGGCCACCTAAAAAAGGTCAAAAGCTGACGTTTCGAGCCTTAGCTCTTCATCAGACTAATGAAGGGCTAACGCTCGAAACGTAAGCTTTTGAACTCTTTACGGTGGCCAATTTATAATTTCAACTTAGTTGATATTACCAGAAACAGAACAGTTTGTAATTACATTTATAACGACGATTACTAATCTGACGGTAGGAAATTTACCAATTCAAATGGGTTGATCTCACCAACCTTCCTTCCTAATTAAAAAAGAGTTATGAAGAAACAAAGTCTTTGTTTATTGATTCACCGCAATAAGCACTTATCGTATGGCCCCCAAAATACAATAACGCGCAATAGATTGAGGCGGTTTTTTTTGTAACATCCGTTTACAGGATTTTTCAGCTATGATTCACGTACATAGGAAAGTAAACTGAGGTTAACGAATGTGTAGTTATATTCTCTCCAATGCTAGAGACGACCCGTGTTGGAATAAAGGAGAAACTACAACAATACGTCTTTCTTTGTGCTGCCCACTAGTCTTCGTTAAGAAAAAAACTATTTTTAATTCATGTTATGCAGGGCAAGGTTTTTATTCGTTTTACTTTGTTTTTTTTTATTTTTTTATTATTTTTTTTTTAACAAATTAAAATTCGTGTCAGACTGGGTTGGTGCGAGGCTGCGTGTCGGCTTTTATTTGGTGTGGGATGCCTTTGATCTGTAACCAAACCAGTTAGACCGTCTGCGACAGTGGGACAAGGGTGTTCAGATAACGGGGAAAAATGCATTTGTCAAATCATTTATTATCACGTGAAACACAGCGCAGCAAACGAACAAATCGAGCTCACTCATACTGAAGAGGGGGAAATTGACGAGTGTGTTTCCCATAATTCTTAAAAAAACATATTTGACTTAAAAAACCTAAACATTTTTTGTATCGCTTTCAATATTTGTCCTCGTAGCTATCTTTCCTTCCATAACGTTTTTATCTTAAACATTTTTCCTGTAAGTGTACTTCTGTTTCCCAGAGGTATTTTTCAAATGTAAATAACTAAACTAAACTGGAGGTTGACTGAAAACTCAAAAGTTAGTTAGCTTCCAGACTCTTTATTTTTTCAATTCCTCACTCGTTACTAACCCACAACAACGCTTTGACATCACCGGCACGCTTCTATCTTAACAACTGCGTGAAGAGATCTTTTCCAGTTAAGTAATGTTCCATATAAGTGCTAAGAGAGGTATTACATACAGCAAAAAAAGCGGAAGATCTCAATGAGAAAGTACTGAAAATGTTTTCCATTCAAAAATACTTCTTAAATTTCATTGTTAGTTTGATCTGTGCTTATCATATTGCCTTTTGTTCTAGTGCATAAACGATTTCCATTTTTTGCGTTATCATTTGCGACCTCGATACCTCTCCTAGTTAATAAATGGAAAATTACTTGTCTTCTTTTAAAAGATAATATGTCAAGACAAACTTGACAATCATAATATCTTCTGGGTCCATGTGATCCAGTTCACAGCGCGGGATATTTGCTGCTACTTCCCCCTCCTTTATCTCCTTCGCCGGGAAAGGGAAAACCTTCTCCTCGCAGGAATCAGGCATCAATACTATTCTGTAGACATAAAGCGTAAAGTCATTAATGATTTGTGGTGAATCATGATAAAGTTGATTTTCTTTTTAACAGTTTTTAGGTTCGGAGACATGGTTTTAGATTTCCTCACTCCTGTATGGAAAAATTACGATATTAATAGTCGTTGTAAAATGCGCCAGCTAAATGCAAGTACTTTGGCTTATCAGCAGCGATCATTTATCCTCTGTACTGCGTTCCAGAGCGAGAATCTATCCTTAATTACAAAGATGAGTCCCTAACCTCGTTCCTACTACCACTGCCGTCACTGCGGACACCAGTTCCAAGGAAAGTCCTGCAAATCGTATATGCGCCCTCCACCTGTTCCCATTCGGGCACCTGTACTCAGTGCTGAATAGGTGTGACCCCTTCACGTTATTCCATTTCTCTCCCCTCCAGCGGAAGGAGAACACTCCTCTTTCTTCCAAAATCCATCTCGGTTTGGCTCTCTGAAATGAAACCGAATGTTCAGTTCATGTGATATCTTTTCTCATTATTTTTATAATTCTAGCGTCTCACCTTGAAATGCATTAGGCCCCGCAGACGCTGGACCTCCCCTTCCTGCAGAACACTGTGGGTGGCGGCTGCATTTATCGAGTGCTGTGGCATGTTCTTCTGCTTTATTATGGCAGTGCAGCCAGTCACCGCACAGCGGACCGCTCTTTCTGAGCACTCGCTTAAGTGCAGTGTTAAGTGGAGCCTGCAAAATAATCAAAATAAGGACCAGGGATGAGCTGGCTAGTGAAACTTTTGGATATTTTGTTGGCCTTAAATAACCATTTGACTGTTGATTTCTTAATTAAACCGACAATATCTTACCGTGGAAGGCTTGTTCCGCAGCTTAGTGGGCACGGTACCCTCTTATTTGAGCAAAGGGAAGCAGTATGCTCCTCGAAAGATTCCCTGGTAATTTTTCTACCGCATTGCTGGCAAGGGAGTTTGTGCTTTGCACATTGCGCAGTGTGTGCTGCCATCCTCTCCCTTGCCACCATCTCTCCACAGCCATCATTGGCACACGCCGTTTGAAATTTTCCACACCTTTTCAAGTGCTGCTCGTGCTCGTGAAATTTTCCTTTCCATAGACAGCCGCTCTTATTACACTTGACATTAAAGTCTCCAATGATATCGTCGAGTGCGACATTGACGTGGAGGGTACCATCTGTTCCGATCGGTGCTTTACAAAGTGGGCATTTGGGGAAAGTCTCAATGCCTATGAGTGTCGCGAGGCAGTGTCGACAGCCCGAATGCCCACATGCCAGAGTGACAGGCTTAACCATTGTCGATAGGCTTCAAAGTAAAAGATAATCAAGAGAGTTTAGTACATTTCCTTACAAAACTAGTATTGATAAGTCAAGTAATTCCTTCAAAGAGGCCCCTGCTAGCAAGGAATTCAGTTCAAACAGCTACAATTGTAAAAGTTGTCGAAGGAAAGTGGAATTTAACCATGGAACAATGATTCATAACTCAGAGTCAAAACAAACGCAGAACGTAAATCTGTTATTTGACAAATTACTATTTTCGTCTAATTGGTCAAATTCCTGAGGGATGAGCAACATTTCTCTCCTCTCAGAAAGACAACTGGTGAAGTATAAACTATTTAGTACAGCTCGATCACAGAAGTAAGCAAGTGTGAGTTAATGATTTTCCTAGCGTTAATATTTAAACATCTCGTCCTTTTGCCAAAAGAAAACTACAATTTCGCTTATGATCTCTTTTCCCAGGAAATGCGAATATAGTTCCACAGTTAAAAAGAACTTCTGCCTTATGAATGCTCTGAATGCTGTCGGTCGTTCTCCTTAAATGTCAGGTTTAGCCTTGCTTTATTGCAGATTTTCACCTGACATCTTCAAATCCGAAAATCCAAAATAAAGAGCCACAAAATTTTTATTCTCGTCAGGCATAAGGGGGTCTAATTTCGTACCTTTTCCAAATTTTCAGTTCAAAACCGAGCTGGGTTTGGAAACCAGCGCAATTTGAAGTTCAGAGTTATGGTGGATGCTTGGCATACAGCTCTGCGTTGTCGAAAAATATAGACTTATCTGTCGACTTTTGAGCCTTTTTAGGAAATTAAGTGTTAGAAAAAGTGCTCTCGTACATGTTTGTTGCTTCAGTTTAGATAATCAGTGGGCTAGATAGCCAAGTAAATTCCAGATTTTTTTTGCACTATTTTTCAGCGGCAATGTTGGTGAACCAAAGATACACCCACGACAATTGCGACTCGATACTAGGCTCTGTAAATTTGCGCAAAACATTTCGACGAATATCTTAAGTTTGGGAAAACAAAGAGACCTAAAAATTAAAAAAAAAGTTCTTCCTTAACCTATCTCCTATGACATTTAAATTTCTTAACTACTCCACTGAAGATCTCTCTCTCGATGGGTGACAGCGAAAACGATCAGTTGCTGAAAGATAAAAATCATCACAAAACAAAAAAACTTACCATGCAGAACAGTTGAATAGCGCGCCGGGAGGAGAAGTAAACTCAAAATGCTCATTAGACATAGCGAATCTGGCAATGAATAAAGCAGCGAAGTGATCTAATCCAAGCAAAGTTTGCTTTTAGTGAAAGAACCAAGACTAACTGATAAGTAAACGATGTTTATAACCCTGTGAACCTCAATGGGAAATGTGTATTTCCTGGAAAATTTGACACGTATTCATCAATAACAATTGATACTGATCTGGCAACAATCGATCCGCGAAATGACAGTTACCCAGGGTCAAGTTCCCTGTTCAAACAATCAAGTTTCCATTCTGCATGTGCGAGTGTGTGTGTGTGTGTGTGTGTGTGACATCATTTCCTGGAAAAGGGTAACTTGCCCGTTTCATGGAATTAAAGAACAATTAAACGAATAAAAGGGTACGCTTAGCGCATTTGCGGCAAACGATCCTAATATTGTTTAACTATCAATATAAATGTCCCGTAGCGACAGGCCTAAGTGACATGGGTGTGCCACGAAACAAAAGCCTTTTATTAATACGTATACACGTCGGTCAGTTTCATTTTCGGCGTGGTTTCGCGTCATCCTTGGGAATATTAGTGCAGCAAGGAGTTAAGCATTTTAGATTAAGTGTTTAACTCCACGAGATGAACCATAGCAAGCGCGCTTTCCAAAGAACGGTTGTCTTTTTGGATAAACGGCACAGAAGCGTGCCAAACAAGACTGAGCTGGGCAGGCTCGCTACCGCCAAGCGGATTTCTGATGTATCGTTTACAAAGAACGACAGCTCTTCCCAAATCGGAGACTTACTGGTGAGAGCATTTCCTCCCCTTACAGGAAAAGACCTTAGCAGGTAAGTGCTGCTGCCTTCATAATCTGTATCGTAGGGTAGAAAATGGTTTCAGAGAAAGGAGTGAAAAGTACCGTAATAAAAGCAGCGAAATGCCGAAAAGGGGCAAGATTGGATGTAAACGTGGATGAGGGAAAACTAAGGTTGCTAAAATCTTCCTTTAGATGTCTTGCAACATTGAGAAGCTGTCGCCAGTAGACAGGATAAGCATCGGACATAAATGACAAGTGGCTAACAGCGCACATATCCGTCTTTTTGTTGTCTTCATCCAGTCATTTGTATTATTGTGTGGAATTAGTCACAAATTTTCCTAACGTTCCATCAGTTTAATGCAAAGTTTACAAAAGAGGTGTGGAATTGTGTAGGATTTACTTTTTGTCGTTTTCTGTTCGTGTGAAGGTCATGCTCAAATTCATGATTCACGCTAACCCGATTAAGCTTTTTTTCGATAGATCAAAATTCTCCATGAAAGCGAGGTTTAGAGAAACTGGAAAGGGATATTTCTTGATTTCCTTTGTTGCTGTCCTCTCAGTCTCGCTTTCAAGGTGAATTTTGATTATCTAAAGAAACATCGAATATCGTTGGTCGATCCAGATGAAGTAAACAAAAAAACAAAAACAAATCAACAACAACAAAAAATTAAATGAAATGTTGGCCAATTGTATTAACAACAGCTGTCTAGACATCTAAGATAATGACCTTCCTTGTTCCAGTACACATTGAATTATTTAAACCTACAATACTTTTTTTTCATGACATACTATGCAATATTTCTGTCGTTGCTACAATCTATGTCAATCTAGAGCAAATGCCACTAAAAGCAAATGTGCATTCAAAATTAATGTATATTTGCATGCACCTTACAGAAATAAATTCACAGTTAAATTCAATTTAACAGAAAAAGGTTAGTGTGGGTAACTACAATCACCTTTCTGTCATTACTTTATTACACTAGCTTGGAAATAATTACATCATATGCAAGAGGGCATGCAATGAGGACAGTGGCAACTGGCCTTCAAAGTGGTGTGCAGCTCATGGACCACTTTGGTGGAAGTAGAAGGAAAAAGATCTCTATATTTCTACCAAGTCAAGGTCTGTTTACATTTAAAGTGTTACTTACATCAACTAAACCTTACAAGTGCATACTATTTAAACTGTTCTCTTCAAATGGAGCATGTCTTGAATAAGCATAGTCTAATTTATAACCAGTTTTCTATGAAACTTATCTTTTTACTTGATACTTTACTTACTTATCTTAGTAAGGTGACTTTCCCTGCAGCCTTGCAACTTCTAGCACAAATTAATAGGAAAATAATAAACCTCCAGATACTAAGTAGAACTTTTAGAAGAAATTGGTCATTTGTTATCTCATCACCCTAGAAATAGTGATGTGCATGACTATTGCATTTTTCCAAATATTAACTGAGTAACAGAGGCTGGCTAAATCAAAATGCATACCTTGACATTAAACAATTGAAAGGTTGAAGGTTTATATGTCATATACAATGTATCCACAAACACTTGCGAGAATCTTCTATAGGCCCATTTCCAGTCTAATGTATCAAATTTATGACGACATTTGATCACAACATGTACATGCATAAACTGTTCTTTCACCACAGCTTTGTCATCTTCCACTTCATCATCTACATCCACTTCAACATCCACTTCATTGTCCACAGTCAGTTTGCCACTAACATCTGGAACCTCTTCAGCACTTTCATTATCAACAGCTACTTCAACATCTTCGTCGTCCATAGCACCTGTACCAGCAACATCTACAGCCACTTCAACATCTTCATTATCCACAGTCATTTTACCACCAACATCTTTATCATTCACAGTCAATTTACCATCAACATCTACAACCACTTCAACATCTCTATCATCCACAGTCACTTTACCACCCACATCTCTATCCACTGCCACCTTAACATCTACATCATCACGGGCCACTTTGCTGTCCCCATCTTCAAGCAGCCTTATATCTACACTGCCAGTTGCTCAACCCTCCACATCCACTTCACTGGATCTGATGCCTTTGCCAGTTGATGGAGGTAACTGAAAAAAAAAAAAAATTTGTCACTGTTTGAAATTAAGCTTTTCAGATCTTTCACAAAAAAATTTGAAAATATTGCTAATTACAAGTCTGAGTTGAAAGGTATCGGCTTATACTACCAACAGCTTAGACTTTGTCTTTCCATTTGTAATTCAATTTACTGACTAGACAAGTGAAGTTATTTTCAGTGAGTATATCTTATTCTGCCTCGATGAAAATCAAAGAAATATGACAAGTTCTAATTTAATTCTGAATTTTATGTGTAATCTGAATTGCTTTTGACATCATAGCTTCTACACGAAGATATCTGACAGCAATGGCAACTGCAAATGCAAGAGGATCAACATCTGGTATGACCCCAGTTTTGTCTTACTTTTTCAATTTACTTTTTGTATTGGTGTTCTAAATGTGTATATGGGTGTATATAAGGCGATTATAATTTAAATCAAATGTTACTCAACAGATGAGAGCTCAGACTTGTCAGATGAGTCAGATTCAAACCATGGCGGTGAGTTGGTGCAATTACAGTTTCAATTGATCTTGATGAAGATACTCAATAAATTCAATAAGAGAACACTTAATCATTTCTCGTCTAGCTGGCTTATAACACTCCCAAGAGGAAAACTCATTTAAATCGTATTTTTATTGTAAACTGCTGTCATTAAGCTTTCTTCTGATGTAAAGTTTGCAAGAATTTATACGAAACTAGCATAAAACAAGTGTTTTCATGAACGACACCCCTGAAAGTGGAAAGTAACCTTAAGTTAATTTAAAGAACTTTCACAATTCTGACATGGACCTGATCTTGATGTCTGCACCTTTTCCTTGGTTAGGCCACAATGCAGGACCATCTGTTGCATCATCTGACTCAGAAGATGACATTAATGGTGAGTAAAAGGATGTTCAAGTAAGTCAAAACTGTAGATTAAGGAAGCACTTTTTTAGTAACCCATAGCTATTCGTTCCAGTTCCAGTTAGCCATATGTATATTTAATGAAAAAAACACCTACTAATCTGAGTCACATCACTCAAGAAACTCATAAATAATGGACTTATAAAGGCACAACTACATATGAAAATTAGTGATGAATCTGTATCATCCTGCAGGTAAAGGAAATAATGATTTGTGACATTATCACCTCTTACATCAAAGTAATTCCTATCTTTTCTTTTTCTTTTTTGCAGAAGTGATAGTTTACTCAGAAGAGGCTAGACTCTGTAAGCTCACCTTGATGTCTCACTAAATGGATATCAATTTCCTTAATGCCTGTACCATGCTATCTTCCTTTTTTGCCATGCATCTGTTGTGAGAAAGATTACAAGAACCATTTTTAACAAAGCCAATGCATCTGTGTCAGTACTTTGGGAGGTCATATCCTAGCAACCACAATGCCCCAGTCATTTAGCTTAATAAGACTAGAAATTGTCATTTACATTATTCTTTATCAATGAACTAGTATACCTGTTTTAATTATTATTTTGTCTTTCTAGATGGCTATGTCACTGATGATTTTTCAACATCAGGAGTGATAACAGGTATGATTGTGATGAGTTTACCTCAGATAGTGCATGACAAACTGAGCAATGAAAGCACAGGTAGTGTATAATGCTACTGAATACATTCATACATCACTAAATCACTTTCCTCATAGTTACCCATTTCTTATAGGTGAAGGTGTTCATAGCAGGACCACTGAGGTGCTGCAATGTATCAATATTTTAGAGGACAGAGGGCAAAAGCACAGCCATTTCATTTCTGATCCACTCTTTTTTGAAGAGGTAATTAATTAGGTAATTACCCTACCCTTTGATTGGCAAGAAAAAAAAAGTTTGCATGTTAAAAAAAAAAAAAACCAAGAGCTACAAACTAATCTGTCAAATAAAAACCCGTTTCTCCCTTTGATCACCTGCTGTGGGAAAATAGCTGTAAACAATTCAAATAGTACACTCATGTTCATGCACATATCTAACTGAACTGTTTCTCTTGTTATCTTAGTTCACATGGCAAGGAACAGAGGATGGTTGTATAATGGTGGCTGTGCTTTTGCCCTTCAGCTGTCCTCTTGCTAGCAAGAGAAGATTGGTTAGGTTAGTACACTAATGTGTTTGCTTTTGTTTCCTCATTGATTTTTCTCTGCCTACTCTGCCTCCACATTTGTTTAACTCAGGTGTATTTGATGTTTATTAACCTTCTCTGTATTTACTTTTTCAAGCATGCTCAACACTGTGGCAAACAGCCCACATATTTACTTCTGGATTGCCAAAGACAGCAGCCATGAAGCCCAGAAAGGTAGCTAAACCTAGTCTTAAGCTCAGAATGCAAAAGCAAATGCACCCAAGTGTTAATTTTAATTAGTTTTTTTTTTTGGAGTATTATTGTAATAATTATAATTATCATAGTTATCACTGTTGTTATTGTCGATATATCAAGATGATTTTGCAGATGTTATTATTAGCACAAGAGTAATTGTACCTTTAATTGCAGTGAGAGTAAAATATGGCGTTTCACAAAGCCCTTGTTGTATTTGTTCTGGCCCCATGTCATAGCAGAAATATGCCACAGTGCGTGGAAATCTTTGAGGGTAAACATGAAAAATTTGAAATCAGGATGAAACTTCTGTAAGTTACCATCTGCTTTCTCTCTACTCTTAAGTTTTAGATACATGTAAGGTTTGGAAAAATTAAGAATGACATGTCCTCTATTAGTTATCTCAAAAAATTAATAATCTAATGTTATGTCAAGAGTATACAGTGACTTTCCATTTAAATATACCTAAGCAGGCCTGCTTGTTTTATAATTGGGTGCACTGTGTCCAGCTTTCTCTCTACTCTTAAGCTTAGGTTCATGTAAGGTTTGAAAAAATTAAGAATGAAATATACTCTTGTTATTTATCTCAACTAATTCATAATCTAGTTATGTCAATTGTATACAGTGATTTTCTATTTAAATAACTATACCCACGTATGTTTATTTTATAATTGTGCGCACTGTGATGTGCCTTATCTGTCGTAATAATATCCATCATAATAATATTTGTCTTTAGAGCAAACAAGGGCTCAACGCAGGGGGAGGGTGACAGCACCACCAACTAATGGTGGTGGAACAACCATTGGCGTCCATATCAACAATGGAAAAAAGTTCTCTAGGGCTTTTGAGAAAAATGCCTTTTTCCAGGTAAGAATATAATATAATATTTGCTACATGATGATGGTGGTGATAGTAAGTGATGCATGTTTTCTTTTTTTGGTTATATGAAAACAATAAACAGGAAGTCTATGACTGGATTGGTTCGCTTGTTGAAGTACCGCTCCACTTCACACTACAGCGAGGAAGGGAAGTGGTGAGGCACTCTGATCATCTACAAGGGGACGAAGTCCTGGACCTTTTAGAGAGGGTATGTTTCAATCAGAACCCACTTTAATTTTTTCAATGTCTTAAAATAACATATTCCCATTCAAAACACATTTAGTTCTAAAGATGATTTAACTCTTACTTATGTAAATTCTCTAAAATTATTAAACACTTAAAAACAGCGTGAGCTGGGGTAGCATAATAAGTTATTTTATGTGTCTTCGTGACAGACACTTTCATTGCTATGGTCTAATTTGTTTTTTTTTTAAACAAATTTTCAGAACACTGAAGAGATGACTAACTTGGAGCAGTCACTGGTAGGTGCAAAAGTCATAAATTAAAAAATAGAGGCTAAATTCTCGATTTCAGATCTGAACCCTTTAACTCCAGAGATCTGATTACGAATTCTCCCCTCTCATTGCTACACATTTCCTTGTAAACCACTTGTGAGAATTTGGTGCTTTTAAATCAAGGTAACAACATCTACCTGATAAGTTTAGGTATTCTCATTACTTGTTTGCTAGATCATGAAGGAATATTATAGGGAGAAGTTAGAGGTTAATCACTCCTGGGAGTTAAAGGGTTAAATGATGAACTCTGTTTTTATTTGTAACTGTACTTATTTTAACATTGATCTGGTATCCTTACAATATTCCCCTTTGCTAATACCTCCAGGGCCACTGTTGACCAGCTCTTCCTAAGCCCTGTCCAGTGTGACCTGGTATCCTTAGATCATTCCCCTTCATAATCCCTCTGGGGCCACTGTTGACCAGCTCTTCGTGAGCCGTGTCCAGTGCGACCTGGTATCCTTAGATCATTCCCCTTGGTAATCCCTCTGGGGCCACTGTTGACCAGTTCTTTGTGAGCCGTGTCCAGTGCAACATGGTATCCTTAGATCATTCCCCTTCATAATCCCTCTGGGGCCACTGTTGACCAGCTCTTCGTGAGAAGTGTCCAGTTGGACCTGGTATCCTTAGATCATTCCCCTTTGTAATCCCTCCGGGCCACTGTTGACCAGCTCTTCGTGAGAAGTGTCCAGTTGGACCTGGTATCCTTAGATCATTCCCCTTTGTAATCCCTCCGGGGCCACTGTTGACCAGCTCTTCGTGAGAAGTGTCCAGTTGGACCTGGTATCCTTAGATCATTCCCCTTTGTAATCCCTCCGGGGCCACTGTTGACCAGCTCTTCGTGAGAAGTGTCCAGTTGGACCTGGTATCCTTAGATCATTCCCCTTTGTAATCCCTCTGGGGCCACTGTTGACCAGCTCTTCGTGAGAAGTGTCCAGTTGGACCTGGTATCCTTAGATCATTCCCCTTTGTAATCCCTCCGGGGCCACTGTTGACCAGCTCTTCGTGAGAAGTGTCCAGTTGGACCTGGTATCCTTAGATCATTCCTCTTTGTAATCCCTCTGGGGCCACTGTTGACCAGCTCTTCGTGAGAAGTGTCCAGTTGGACCTGGTATCCTTAGATCATTCCCCTTTGTAATCCCTCCGGGGCCACTGTTGACCAGCTCTTC